GCCTTCAGGATGGCCGACTGCTCTTGTCCTCTGCCACGGAGCCCTTCTGGCATGACAGATCCCACTTCTGACACCAAGAATGTGGTGGAAATTCCTTATCCAACAGGTAGAGAAACTACTCAAGGACTGAGAAAGTTGCAACTTTGTCTTTCAAGTGTTTTATTTGAAGGCAGTCAGTTTAAAGACTGAATCCAACAGAGCCAGGGAAAGCAGAGCGACATCTCCCAGATACGTCCTTTTTTTAATCCACGTCTGTTATCAGAGAGCACATTCCATACAAGAACACTGTTCTGGACAGAGAAGCAGAAGTGGCAACATCAGCCGGTTTGGTCCGGTTCTAATCAGTTCTTGTGGTACGTAACTCTTCACGCCACCAGGAAAACGTCCTTGGCCGAATCCTGGAAGATTCTGCAACAACTTGAACACGTTGTAAAAAAGTGACAAAACGAGAACAGACAGTGACTTACTCAAAAATGTCCACTTCTCAGACAAACAAAGTGAAGGTATATAAAGTCTGTGTTTCCATCTCTGAGACATCCTGTGACCAGAAACTGCTGCTGGAACAGACTCTTCAACTAATCATCAAAACAAGGTAACATTCAAAGTCCTGCTGCTCATCATGATGTTTTATGTCTTGGTTGAGTTGATTTGTTCACTAATTATGAACGTTCCTAACGACTCTTTCCACAGATGGCTGCTGGTCTCGTCTTCACTCTGCTTCTTGGTCTGAGCTTTGGACTCTGGGATGGAGCTGATGTAAGTAAGGACTTAAAACAATGATTGGTACGTCCCTGTTGTGAGCTTTGGCTGACTGACGCAGATCGGATGGAGCAATCTGAGCCATTATTTGGTTGAACTTCAATGAAGAAACTTTGTTTTGTTCTGAAACTTTGGGTTTTTCCATCAACAGGCGGTTCAACTGAGAGGTGCGTGCTTCTTTTATTGTTGGAGTTTCTAACACCTAAAAGACAACAATGTAAGAAACTTTTGCATAGATCAGCTTTATCTGGTCGTCCTTTCAGCACAAGTACAGGACTTAATTTCTGTATAAAGTAAGTTAATAAATTGTTTAGTCAGTACATATTGCACAGAAACATCCCATCCTACAAGGCAGATAGGTCACAGTAGTTTTTACAGACGGCAGCTAGAAACACTAAGAAGGCAAATTACTGTCTGAATAAAATAACTGAATCAGAACCAATAAATGTCATTTCAGAGGTTTTTCATGTGAATATATTTTCTAATAACTGTCATCTAATAAAACCTTTGGCAGACGAGCAGTATTTTTAGTTATTGATTGAATTCATAATTATTGGCTGACATAATTCCCATTTTTATAACCTGTTATTTGGATTAATTTCTCATATTTTCAAATGTATTTTTCCCATAATGTTTGATGCAGCTGAACCTCTGGACTGTGTCTGGTGATAAAATGATGCTGATTATTGGATGGATGTATTTACCTTCTCTCTTCATATTTCCCAGTTGCCAACTGTGATAAGTGCACCCCTGGTTGGACTTGGTACGGCGGTCAATGTTTCCTGTTTATGAAAGTTAAAAAGTCCTGGTCTGAAGCAGAGGTACAGCAGATTTCCTACATTCAAAGGAAATGTAAATTTATTGATGACACAATAAAATTCACCAACAACAAGGTTACAGAAACTGATTTAAACAAATAGAACCATAATTTCTAAATTCAGCTGCACCAACTGTCTCACTGCAGAGGGAAGTTTAAACCACTGTTGTTTTTTTCAGAAATTTTGCCTCTCATTGGATGGACATCTGGCCTCAATACGCAGTACAAATGAGTACAACTTCATCAGACAGCTTGTCTATGAAGCAACTGGAAAACACACACAAACTTGGGTTGGAGGTCATGATTCACCAGAGGTGAGCTTTTAAAAACACAAATAACTGTCTGGTTGATCATTTTTTATGTCAATGTGCATTTCTCATGGCACTTTGTAAATGCTTTGAGACGACATTTGCTGTTAATTGGCATTTTATCAATGAACTGAATTGAATTGAACAGGTGTTCCTAATAAAGTGGTCAGT